TATGAAAGAGTTAGTTTAAAAGTGGTGGATTGAATTGAAACAGAGATTAATGCCTTATTTAAAAGAAATGTAAGTAGCCTTCCAAATATCTACACATGTAAATTTTAGGTTATATAGTGCAATACAAATGCGTGTGCATTATAATATACATGTGTAGTATACGGTGAAAGTGAAATAAGTACAAAAATTTCAATACCTAAGCTGGGTTCTGTTTGTAAATCAATGATCCCTTAAGCTCAGCACATAGAATTGTGTAAAGGGTGGTGATTTAGATGTTTGTTACATATATAAATCTTTGGTTGAATCCATACCCAAAATTATAGATGAAATTTTTTTTTGCATGAACACAACCCGGGTGTATAAATATTTTATTACAAATAGGGCTCTGAAACTTGAATAAAATATGTCAGTTTCTTATACAATATTTTTCCCCTAAAACATGACATGAACGGAAAATGTAACTTGTGCATTTTCTAGTGCTTATGAAAGGTGCTAGACTGATGATACTAGAGAAGGGAGCGCTCTAATTTATCCAAGGAACAAAATCAGTATGGGCAGTAGCAGTACAGAATGCTTACAGGGTCTTACTGATAGCTTTCTTTCCTTTATCCTGAAGAGACCCCCCCCCCCTTCTACCATCGAGAAGGTAGACCCATCTCTATGCCAGTTCATGCATTGGTTTCTGGGCTAAGAAGGGGTAGTCAGGGTTCAGTTGTGTTGGGGACGTCTCATCAGCAGGAAATGAACTGACACCCACTCATTCATTTTACATATGCCAGCAAAAAATGGAGACTGATCATATTAGGTCACTACCAGCTTGATCTGGATTTAAATAGGAAAACTAAAGATGGAAAGCACCAAATGTCATGAATGAAAATGTTAAGACAGGGAAGATTTACTGTTTGGCATACCGTACCTCTCCAAGAACGTGTCTTGTTTCTCCAAAGTAACATAATTGTAAAATGTTACAGCAGCGGTAAGTAAATACATATATTTTGATTGCCATTATGGCACAAGCAGTTGGTAAAACTAGGGTAATTTTATTGTAGAAAGGAGTAAGAGGCTCTTCCCCTTCTGTTTCAGATTTACAAATAAGGACAAGACCATTATTCTCTTGACACTGCTGTAACCTATAACCCAAAGTTTTCTGTGAAGCTTTCGAAATTGCTAGTTTACCCTTGCCACACAATAGGTTACTCCTATCCAGTGGTACATATCCCAGCTATCTTTTCGCACTGCACACCCATAAATTGCACTGTCAGAGCATCAAAAACTACGAGTCTCTCCTACCTGAGGTGACAGGCCCTGCCCATCCTCGGTTGGAGACCAAGTTCTGGATCACACTAAGAACTCCCATAATCAACACTGTTAAATCGGAATAGCAGGTTTGAGTCTTTAGAGACTCAGAAAATACAAGCAGAGTATCAGAGACAGCTTCCAGAAATTTGGTGGTGATTAATATAGATATTAATTCTATTTGAATTCCTGTTGTCCAACCATCCAAAGTCAAAGGTTGGTTAACTAGCTAGTTAGTTTAGAGTCAAACATCTACCCACAGGCCTTTTTTACAATAAAAAAAATCTGTGTTATTCAAGATTAAGCTTCTTTAAACATAAAACTAAATTCTTAGATTAAAGAAAAAAGCAAATCTAATAGTGCTTCCTCACTATAATGTTTCCAACTCCATCAGAAATTATTTAAATACGCCCATTAATAATGTGCACTTTATTGTAATACAGTGCTTTGGCTTCTTACCAGCCTGAGTGTACAGCGCCAATGAAACTCTTTGCTGCAGGGGGCTGTGGCTTCAAGAGGGGCTCCCATCTACTGTATAGTTTGTTTTGTATGTTTTCCAATGGCACTAATTATTGCAGGTGGTAGCATTTCACTGGCATGACCATTGCTAAAGAAAATAGTAAAGTGTATCTTATTGTGCAAAGTGACTAGCCAAATATATAGAGAAGAGAAAATTAAATGAATTGTTAAACTGCTGTATAATAAGTAATTTTATTGATTTAATGCAAATGATTATGAAAATGAACTTCCATTTATATCAATTATGTAGAGGCAAAAAATAATTTATTCTTCTGGTCACCTGTTTGGCTAACTGACTCAGCAGGGTATCAGAGCGCACAAAATGTGAGCCATTTGGAAAATGGGATTTTAAAGTTTCCTCTTTCACAGTGAAAAATAATGGTAGTTATTGCCAATTCATGAAAAAGCAGAATGAATTGTGGAGGGTGAGTGAAACTGTGCAGCTGTGGTCAAGGTTGTAAAGTACAGCGGCTCTGAGTTTTGCCAGTCCTTTAACCATGAGGAAGCACATTTATACATAGGCGATAATCTGCGATGTCTGACTAAAACCAGGGAAGCAAAATTCTGCATAGAAACATTTTGGCTAAGTGCCTTCTTCAAGTGTCCTTATCTAGGGTTTCTACAAAATGGTACCTTGCATAACAATTCTCAGCAGACAAGTGTCCAGTTAAAAAAATGCGGTAGCTTTAGCAGATCACTACCACAGTATTATTTTTCAAGCATATTTTCCTGAATTTTATTATCCTTCAGCTGTTTGCAAAAAAAGCATCACTTTAGAGTTAGTCGGTTTGGAGTTTGGGGGGGAGGTTGTTTTTTTCCAGGACGATAAAGTAAATAAAAAGAGGATTAAAGCAAAATGCATAATAACAGCTAGACATGGGGAAACAGACAAGACTCGAAACGTGAACAAGTGTTTTCAGTTTGCTCAGTTGGGTCTCTCTTACCACTAATTCTGGTGTCTGGAGAGCAGCAGTAAGCATAAACAAAACTGCATTGTATCGCAAAACCCAGTGTCAGTGCTGCATCCCGGCCATGGAGCATTGCTGACTATTAAAAGTGCCACATGGGCTATCAGAAGTATGCCAGCTCTTCGCTCGTCCTCCGTACACGTACCCGTGATCACTCATCTCTCTTGCCCTTTAAATGATTTATTTAATTGTTATTCTTTTAGGAAAAACGGTTTTATTCTTTAGTAACTTAAAAATACATGTTCACTGCATTTTTGCCTTAGTTTATCTCTAAAGGTCAAATAGTGATTGAACAATGGCTTGCTGAAGGGAAAAATAACCCTACAGTGTGCCCCATACAATGAAATATGTTGAACTGCTCTTTGAATGTGGACTGAATTTTTTAACCTTTGTGGCACTGGAAGCATGAAACTTCCTGTCAAAAACTGGTGCCCAGAATATAGCAGCACTGAGCATATTATCTCATAGACAGTCTGCTATCCCCTGAGCCTAGGATACCTTAGACAAAGCCAACCCACAAGGTTTACATTTAAAACAAAATAGCGGAGACAAGATTTAAATGTATTTTTTCAGATGAGCTTCCTATAAGAAATGATTAATATATGTTAAAATGTAGGGAGGATATAGATGTAGATAGTTTTGGTGGAGGCATATAATCATACCAGTTCTTTTTAATCAGAATTTCAAATTCATTTTAAGGACAGATACATGCTTTCGAATTTTATTTGCAATGTATTTTAATGTTTTTATGACACCTTTTATCAGAATTGTTTTGTGCGCACTTCCTAATAGTTGTAGTTCTTAATTTATACGGGATTGTCCTCTAAGCTTTTGAATGATAGCTAAGGCATATAGTCAGCAGGTAAAAAAAAAAATTTGAATATTTAAAATAGGCATTTTCTTTATAGTACTCTGCGGTAATTAAAATCTTCATTTGCTTAAAAGCAAGGAGCCTTTTTAAAGCAATAAATTAGCATTGCTTGACCCAAGGTCACTAGTAGTGCTGCTTCTTTCAGTGCTATTAATACCTCAAAGAAAAAGAAGGGGTGGTGTTATCACTCTATTGCAATAGAAGTAAGATTTTCAATTTAATCACAGTTAAGTGTCATGACCTTTTGATCTTGCATTGACTTCTCACTGAAATGTGGTCAAATTTCAGGCAGCTAATTCTGAACCTTGCAGAGTCAAGGTGAAGTGAGGAAATAGGTTTACCACAAATGTAGGTGTTTTTATACAGTAATAAATGGTTTCATTATTTAAGTGTGGTTTTAGTTAAAACTTTTTATAAAAGAATAAATTCATCCTAAATTGTTTTGTCCCCAGAACTGATAAAATGTTATTTCCTTTAACTCTGTAATCTTTCTGTGGCCCTGAGGACACTCGGTTAATACGGAGCTTTTCTTTAGAAAATGATTTTGTTTCCGACACAAAATATTTTTTCCAAGTGCAAAGGAGACAGGAAAAAATAATGATAAATCAAAAAAACTTTGTTTACTTGAAATTTCTGCTAGAAGAATTTTTCTTTTTAACAAAAACACTTTTTAGCACATAAGAAAGGTAATACGATGTAAAAAGAGTACAGAAATGCTCTTATGGGCCATTTTACTGTTTCAGGCAAGTGAATTAATATGTTAGTTGGAGACTTATAAATGGGAACTTGTAGAACTCACTAGTTGTACACATTCGAAAGCCTTTGATCTTGCATTATACTACTCTAAATCAGGAGCAATGCCATTCATTTCATGGGCGTTATACAACTGCAACCACAATGAAAGTATGATGAGAACCATCTGATCTTTTATCTGTACTGCAAATTTCTGTTTCTGAGACACACCAGCAGCGATCTTTGGCTTTTATAGTGTTGCTTATGCTAGTTTGAAAACATAACTTTATGCTTTATTGTGTGTCAGACCAAGTCTGAATATTATAAGAGCCACGTAGAAAAGTAGTTTAAATCAGCTTCCTTTAAAGGGAAGATTTCTTGAAGCCTAATTCATGCTAATGCACCGGCTGAACACCCTAGGTACTGCTTTAAACAAGATTCAGTTTCTTCCCAGTGTAAATGTTACCAGGGTGCCGGGCTTCTTGCATTATCATGTCCTGGTGCAACATTCCTGGCCTTAGTTTGTACTCTCAACCTTTTGAGGAAGTCTGGCGCCTCTGATCTACTTTCCATAGCATACCCTGTAATTTTTGGCTGTATTTTATGTTTTTCAGATTCAAGTCAATCTGAAAGTCCCAGCCAGCCAAGTGAAGCTGATATTAAGGACCAGCCAGAAAATGGTAAGTTTTTACCTGCTGCTGCGTTGGAATATTGCAACAGTCCATGTTTACAAGGCTCAAGTACTGAGCACATATACCTAATAAAAAACGGCTCAGTCTTTGAACTATTGACTGTAGGCAGCTGAAAATGAACGGAGTACCTACATCATAGTTAAAATGCCATGGGTTCATAAAAATACAGTAGCATTTGTCTCTTCAGTCCTGGAGGGAGGCCTTTATTTCATTAAAAAGTGTTTTAATTAGGAGGATCTGTGCTAGAGCCTGCCGTATGGAGCACTGGTGCTTATTTGTCTAGAGCAGAGGCATTCAATCCATGGGTCATGAGTCATGACCCCCTTGGGGGTGCCGACGGCATTACTTTCTCTTCCACAGGGCCCAATCTCCGTGCTTTTTAACTTCATTTTGTTTATTGACATTTTCATGATAATGTAACACTAAAGCACCTGACCTACTGCACTCTTGCAGCTCAGTTTAGATGGAGAGATCTCCAGTAATCTTGCAAAACAAAATGGTTGCTTTGAAACATTTTGTTTCTGTAGCACTTTCCTCTACCCTGAAAAATACACAAAACAAAACTGACTGGCAACTATGCTGGAGCATTGCAGTCTCAAAGCAGGAATGGAAACCTCTGAATGCAGCAGCCCTTTCTTGAGCGATAAAGGTGTTTTCAGACCGGTCTATATTTTAATTGGTACATTTCTAAAAAGGTCGTAAGCATTATATGAGGGAAAGGGAAACAGCAAAGACTTAATTTCTTGTTATTTTTTTCTCCTTTTTATTTCTAAAACCATTGTTTCTGTTGATAGCCATCGGCCTATATCAGGAGGTAGCCACAAGTGAGTAAATTTGGAGAATGCTGCAATAAGGCTACTCCCCGTTTTAATAGAGAAATCCCATTGAGCGAAGCTGTGCCAAAAGGTCAGTGCAGTGAGCAGGTACTAGTATTCTCTGGAGTAGGATGGCTTCAAGATAAGAACCAATGGCAGCTATTGAAACCAGGGTAATGGTAGGTTTCCATTGTAAAAGGTCCAGAAAATTGGTACCACTTTTGGTAACTGACATAAGAATTGCATGGGAAAGCAGAGATGAAACTATGAAGGGAACAGCTTGATTTTTTAAATATATATATCATGTTTAAATCTCATATTGGCCCCCTTAACAGCTGAAATTCTTTGTTTTCCAACTCTTTATATTTTGCTTAGGATGACGACTCTCAGTGTTGGATACAATTCCTGATTGCTTTGATTTTGGAGATTTGTTTGTTTCGTGGCGGGGGGAGAGGGTTGTAATTATTATCGGCAATGAATATTTGTGTTATGGTAACAGTGAATTGAGTTTGGAGCTCTAATATTTGAGTGCTGTATAGAAGGAAAAAATAAGATAAATCCTTACTACAAAAGGCTTCACCGTAAACATTTCACCATATTTGAAGCATTTGGGGTGCCTATACACAAGCACTGGGGCTGCTCCGACATGCTAGGAAACCGGCACATTGGAGCAGACTTGATGAATTGCCGCACTGTCCTACATCAGCATCTCTGTGCTTAAACATGGTGGTGGGGTGCTTGAACTGAAAGCTTGTCAAAGGAGCTTAAGTTCAAGCGCCTCCACCGCTATTTTAAAGCGCAGGGATGCTGATACACAAGACATGGCAGTGCTTTAATTAGAGCTGCTCTAATTAAAGCACTGCCCCTCCTCCCCCCAACACCCAGAACGTGTAAAACATGGTTCTTAAGAGCCCATGGTCTATAATACTATTATATATACAAGATACAGTTCTGATAACCCTTTAACAAACCCACTGAACTGCTTTTGTTTAAGCTTTTTGCCTCACATCTTTACAATATATTGCTTAGCTTTTCATTGTTTTGAATGTCTATTATATTTGGTTCTTGACTAATAAATGAGCAAGCTGTGAGTATGTTTAAAAGAGGGTGTCCACATGTAGATTCGACATGTATTAGGGCTCTGGATGTGGGCTTCAGACAGAATCAGGGCTAATACTTAGATTCAGCAATATCACAAACCAAAATTGTCAGAAAATATGAGTTTCCTATTGTGGAAAACTCACAGGGTCAGGCTCATTTGGTTTGTATCATTTGGTGGTCCATACCTCTTTCGCTGAAATGTGACCGGTTTCAGATCTAAGTGTGTCTGTTTTGCCCATCTCTAGACACATCTCCAAATATTTTTCTCGTTGAAGGGCAGGATCTAACTTCTCTTATCAATCTTGCTTACAGCAATTATAATTTATAACCAGAGAACTGCCAGATTTAAAGGTGAATTGACTACATTATTTTTCTGCCAGTTCTCATTTTTTAAAATATTGTGCCATTTTTAGGCAACCAGAATCTTTCTGACATTGGCCTTGTTATTGTTACTATTTTAATTAACGGTGGTTATTCTTTTGCAGCGATTAAGCCATAAGTCTTACCATAAAGTGCACATAGTATTAAGGAAACATGTAACACAACAGTGACCCCAAAAGCAGTAATTTCAATGATTAATAATGTAAAATGTGTAAAAGCCCAATGAAACTGAATCTCTCAGATTTGGAGCCTCCGTGCTGCTTGTGAAACAACCTTTTATTGAATTCTTGGAACTTCACTCATGACCTAGCTAATGAGCCTTTTTTCCCTAAAAACAATCAGGAAAGCATTTCTTCTTCTCAGTTTTAGTAAAGGGTATTTTTCCTCTTGTATCAAAATACTTATACCTGATCAGTTGCAGTTTGCTGTGTCTTTTTTAAGAGACCAACACATCAAACACATTCTTGGCTCTAAAGGCGTATTCCATCCAGGTTGATGTTAAGCTCATTCTCAGTGCACAAAGCCTGTAGCTTGCAATGTACCCAGTGTAGAGATCAACATAGATCTACAGCTGTTATCTACCAAACATGAAGACGAAGCAAAACTGCAGGTTTTAGAAAATGAAAAACTTCACACATAAAAATGGGCACAATAAATCATTTTAACTGCACTTGCCATAGACCGGTTCCATACAGCCAAATCCTTCTGGAACCAATCTCCCCACTGATTTCAGTGGGAAGTGAATGGAGCCCACGGAGGGGGAAAAATTGTTAAAAAGTCAGATAAAATATCACAGGGGCAGTCCTGATAGCACTAAAGTCAGCCCCAGAATGACCAGACTGAGGACAGATTTGGGGTCACATTTCATGGATTTCTTTAGGGGGGCAAAGTAGTGGATTAAATGCCACCCCAGAGATGTATAGATTCCTTCACTTAAAATATAAATCTTTAAAGACCTTATGAGGGCTGCACAGCCTCTCTCCTTGCATATTGATGTCCTTTCAGCTCCACTCCATAAATTCTAGAGCTGTTTATTGTAGATATATATTTTGCATAGTTTAAATAATGTAGGTTTAAAATGGTCAACTATATAGCCCTGAAAAGAAGGCCTCCAGTAAGCCTTTATTTTTTGTTTTATATGATATTTATTATTTAGGAAATCTCACCCACTTAGGCTTCATAAAACGAATGGTCATACAACTAATTACTCTTGTTGTTTGGAACCACCCATCTCTTACAGGTATCTCGATTTCAGTTACCATATCTCACAGTGTATAAGTCGAGTTTTGAAGGCCAATTTTTAACTCTTAAAATTCAACCTCAACTTACACACCATATCACCATCCCCTGCGAGTGGTGCTGGGCTTGGTGCTTGACTTATACTGGCTCCTACACACCCTCAATGCAAGCCGGGCACCTGGGGGATAGACACATGCCGCAGCGCTGCTTGCAGAGGATGAGGCCAGGCTTGGCGCTCGTGTGGCACAGCCCCATCCCCTGCGAGCGGCACTTCCTGGGCAGCGCCAGCCGAGCGAGCACCAAGCCTGGCACCGCTCACAAGGGATGGGGCTGCACCAGCTGAGCACCCAGCCTGGCCCTGTCGGTTTGCTGAGAGCGGCGCTGCTGAACACTAAGCCCAGCCCCATTCCCTGCAAGCGGCGCCAGGCACGGCTGGTACAGCTGGGCTCAGTGCTCAGTAGTGCAGCTCGCAGGGGATGGAGCCATGCCAGCCGAGCCCTGCCCTGTCCTGTCCCCATCCCCATCCCATGCAAGCAGCGCCAGGCTCGGCACTCGACTGGCATGGCCCCATCACCTGCGAGTGGTGCTACCTGGGCTGCACCAGCTGAGTACCGAGCCCAGTACCACTTTCAGGGGACAGGGCTAGGCTCAGTGCTCAGCAGCGACACTCACAGCAGACAGACAGGGCCAGGTTCAGCACTCAGCTGGCTTGCCACTCGCAGGGGATGGGGCCATGCCAGCTGAGCACCAAGCCCAGCCCTGTCCCATGCGAGCAGTGCTGCAGCACATGCCTCTCCCCACCCCTTGGGTGCCCAGCCCACAGTGAGGGTACACAGGGGCCAGTATAAGTCAACCCCATATTTCTGATCCAAAAAGTTAAGTCGACTTATACACCAGATCTATGAAATTCCTAACTTCGTTGGATCAGAAAAATGGGGTTGACTTATACACCACATCAACCTATACACTGTGAAATATGGTGTTCGGAGCCACCGGATAATGTTCCAACCATGGCCATGCCATTCGTGTTTTCCACCCTGTCTTAGCAACAGTACTTGCACAAGCAACTACATACCTTCTCAGCAATGTAACAGTGCATACAATCATGACAAAAGAGGGTAAAGGGGACACAGGCATGTTATAACCATAACAGGTCTTCTGCCTGGTCTTCACCAAAGACTCCAAATGAAAATCCAAACCAGGTAAAGGAGGAATTTAAGGGGTCAAGAAGGAGATAAGAGAGGTTCATATCTTTCAACTTCAGATGGGTAAATGGCAAAATCTATGAAAGCAAGAACAAATCATTAAGGGTCTCCCAATACAGAGACCAGCCTTTCCAAAAATTGGCTCTGTGCTGTTTGTATCCAGAACTGCTCTTGAACTAAGAACATAGAAAAGCCTGAATTATACATTAGTACCCAGTACAAGTCTCTTTTTCATTACAAGACTCCA